ATATATAAATATATACATGTATTTATAATGAATTCTGATTTTGCGCAATCCGTTTACCAAAGATTCATACTAGTTATATCTATCAGCTGTTGTAAGGTCACATCTCGAAGTTATAGTTCTTCATATCAGCTCATATATTCGTTCGAAAATAAAATCACTCGCCTCAGTGGACCCCCAGCATCTCCAAGAAGTCCGATGGATCTACGCCTTCGGTACTACACCCGTCTACAAATACCCGCCTCTCGCGTCGAACTGCCTGTGTTCGTTACGGAAGAACTCGAAGAGTATCGTAAAGGCTTCATCATCGCCAGGTGATGGAAGAGTACTCAGTTCGCCCACCACGTGGCGTCTATTTGCGCTTGTACATATATATAGACGTGGGAATAGATTAAAATTAATAATAAAGAACTTAGATTTATTAATTACTACCGAGACCCTTCATGGGTTGCTAACACCATGGAGGCGTACAAATATCAAAGTGCTCATTGATTGGCAGAGAATAACATTTGACAGTTCACATCTCGTCGGCTCAGTTTGATCTAAATAAAACATACATAGTCATTTGTTTGATGCCGACTCCACTTTGTGTATTTTCGCCCCTTAAGATTTTCAGATTAATGGATGTTTCCAACATAAGCCAAGCGAAAGAGATCAATCACATAGGGAGGGGGACCCTTGCGGCAATAATGGCGACAGTCGTTGCCGCTAGTATACGTCTGAGAGTAGGCCCAAATACCTAGCGCTATCTAAAGCTGACGAATCCAATCGCGAGTCACGAATGGTACTGTTTTAAAATCTTGAGCGCACGCCTTACAATTCTCCATTCGCCCTGAAAATCAGCAGACCACATATCATTTCATCAGCATCGGTATCATGCTATATCCGAGGCGATTTGTTCGCACCAACTAATCAAGTTGGTCGATCATACGTCCGGTGAACGCGTACTCCATTCGACTCTTCGTCTGCTAGCAAGCTGGTCCGATTAGAGTTTGCGCTGAAGCTTTCCTATGATGTGTCGCAAGGCGATGTAGCTATAACCGGATATGTCCTGCGACTCTACAGACAATGTCTGCCTCTTCTCGTTTTCAGTATTCGATCTCTACTGTAGTGACCATTTGTCAGCGACAGCTACGCTGCACTTGCTTTCTCGCCATATCATATATCGTTGCAACAACAATATCTTCGAAATCAACTGACCAACCATTAAGTCCAGCTTCCGAACAGGCGGTGCCATTCTGTCAGAGATTTGATGATCAAACTCTAAGTAGAAAAGTGTATTTCCTCATCGCCAAATGCGACACTGTGGTCGGGTGCGATACGATATCTTCCTCAGCGTATTTAGCGGCCAAACGGTCAAAACATACCACTGATTTGATATACAAACTATTTCTCGCTCTATTAATATGTCGTTCCCATATTAAGCGCAGTCTAACAAAACACAACCAATCCAATAAGTCTTGCCGCTGGACGACACCGCCGCATCTCGCCGACATGTTCGTTGATCGACATTCGCACTTTCCTAATAACATATTTTCACCTGACCAGTTTCCTTTTAGGCTCGCCCCGCAGCCTTTAAATTCCATATTTCCAACTCTCATATCAGACATTGCTCTCACGATCGTCTGCCCCTGTCGCGCTATCACTTTCCTTCGTGCCAGCCTGGCTGCCGTTCATATCAGCAGTATCCCTCTTACCTAAGAGACCTGGCCACATCATTCCCACCCTACACTCAGTCACTCTGTTCAATTTTGAGCTTCACTCTGCAGCGACAGGGGTCGACTCCGATTCATTCGCACTTTCTAAACTAGGAGAGTCTTTATCTTGGGCAGGCCCCTCCGTGCCATCTGCTTTGTTCTCTGCCATGGCATCCCAATCGATCTCATCTTGTGCTGGCGCTGGTGGGAGAAACACTGTCGAACAAAGGAATGTGTGCGGAAAGTTTGGTTAGACTTGAGTACGCCAAAAGGGCGTTACGGAAAAAGTATACCATGTGCGATGGTTTGGAAATAGAGTGTATTGCACAACAAGGCAGGGTATTGCGTTCCATAGAGGCATCGTCCGAATTGACTTAGTATGGTATATACCGCAGTGTACATGTAGCACGGTGGATAATTTTATATTTATGTATCCGGTGATCAGTGTTTCTTCTGTAATGGCCCTGGTACTGGTTAGCTGTCATATGGGCGATATTTACACGCACAATATCGACACGGTTCTCCAGACTAAAAACATAAGTTCAACTATGAATGTGACAGATAAGGCACGTGCGTAGCCACCAACACCAAGCTCAATACACCACTTTTCGGAAATAAAAATAGCACACCAAGTACTGCCACAATATCAACGTCCATCGCTTGCACACACCTTCACCAGGACAAAGACGGTCAAAAAGTGCTTGTACGCGTGGAACACTGGCGGAGCAGTGCAGTGAATGATCCACCCCTCCCAACACGTGCAGATTACTCGGTTGTAGCCCCGCCTCCTCGACCTTGAGGCTTGAGCTGTTGGTGTGTCGAAAGTACGCTTCGTACAGGATTGTTGGGGCTGTGTTCGATGGCGAGTTACCTAATAGAGTGAAGCAACACCGATATTGGATGTTAGTTGTTTTCGAATATTTACGTAAGTATTGCGAGTAGAATAATGAGATCCGATTCCTTAAGTGTCAACGGCCACTTCTGCTACGTCTATCAATGAGTCTGTTCGAGAATACAAGCATAACAATTAAAAGTACGTGGCTCAAAGATAAATGACTACACCAGGCATTATAACATGAATACAAAGCGATCCAGATGGCCGAAACTCTCACCTGATGTGCTGTCAAACAATCTTTGGACCAGTGCTGCGAAATGTTGACGAGGTGACTTCTTGCTATCGGAAGTCGTTTTAAGGTGGTAAAGCCCTATAATGTACACAGGGAATGCAAGAGTTCATACGAGTGCCCATGCGCTACAATACATCCCATCAAGAGCGATGCTACAGTAAAGGCGAGAACAATGGCAATACAATAGAAATGACGTGGAACCAAAATCACCCAGTGTTACTAAATCACACGCAGATTGGATCTTGCTTTCGTACTTACAGTATTTCTCAGATACAACGTGTGTTTTAGATCCCAATTGGAGCACACTGATGGGCGCGCTATTGTCCACTGAGCCTGGCGGAAATGAAGTGGTGATGGTATCAAACTGTTCTGTTGCCGCAGTTCCATCCGCCGATACGGACAACGGACCAGACGAAACAATGACACCGCGCGCGACACTGTGTATGATAGAATATTGTATTTATATCAATCTGTTCCGAAGAAAAAAACTGCTAGGTCTACTCAAACGAGATTTCACCATGGATGTTAAGCATTGTTGTAAGAAGCGCAGGAATCGTCAGAGAGTAGCTCTCAAAAACCAACGGAATAGTGAAAAACCAGCAGTGGTAACAAGGAAAACGGAGTAGACGAGAGACCTGACTAATAACTGGTGTGGCATATCTCGAACTCGGTAGTTGATACACCGAACCCTCGTT